ATAATAATATAAATTATTTTTATTTATCAGAGCCAGAGCGTCTTTCCGCGTTAGCATGGTGCAATTCCATTCTGTGTGATTTCCACCAATATCAACGGTATCCTGTACAGATTCATTCATGAAACGCAATAAAAGAATTAAAATGTTTTGATCAAACAGACATAGAATGGAAAGAATGGAAACCTTTAAGCCAGGAAATATCATCATCATAGCATCAAGCTAACTTGGCTATCTTAGCTCAAGTAGTTGCATACAAAGCTAAGCTAAGAAAATACGTAGTAAGTAATGACTATGGATACGTGGGGCGTTGAAGGGCGGCAGAAGAGCGACGTATTTTACATAGCTAGCGGGACCGTTGTGTTAGTTTAGTTAGCTCGGTTAGCTTAGTCCGAAGTAAGTAAAGATGCCCCGGCCACGTGAGCTAAGTTACTTACACTGTCGGTGTGGCTTGCGTAGAAGTAGTGCAATAACGATACAGTCGCTAATCGTCTACCTTTACGCATGCGCGCGATTTTAAGCAGCGATACAAACGCGCTATTGCATCGCTACACTTGGGATGTAAAGGCGATTGCATCGATGCAATCGCGCGTTTGTATCAAAGCAATCGCATATAAATCGCAAGTGTAGTGTGCTAAAAGTCGTCGTGTGTCGTCACTCAGTCGCCACTCTTAAGAGTCTAGAATTGGAAAACAAATGTTATAATAATGATGGCCCATGGATGACCCTAAGATTAACTTGGAACTTCAATATTAGTGTTGTCAGTAAAAAAAATGTTCATTACCATTTCACAACACGATTAGGACACTAATTGAAGCTATTTCTGTATTTAATGTTTATTTAATTATTCTATAACAAGATTCCGGTTGATATACAAAATTTGCCTTTCACGAGGTTTAAAACTATAGTGAAACAAAAACTTTATAGTAAAGGTTATTATAGTATATTAGTTCTGCGTACTTGGATGACAAAAATCCGTGGTAGTAACCCGTTTAGCTCATGGAGGTAGTCTCGATCTCTGATGTATCAAATAAAAAAAAATAAATATTGTAAATGTTATTTACAAAGAGCAACCCCTAGAGTTTCTTGCTCATTCTTCTCAGGGGAATCTGCCTTACGAATGAGCGGTAGAGTTTAACCATTGTGACGATTTCAAGTGTTATAATGCTTACCTATGAAATAAAGATTATTTTGAATTTGAATTTGAATAAATGCGCACATTACTGCTTGACGGCAGAAATAGGTAAGGTGGCAGTACTTCGTTTCGGTTTCGGTTTTGAAGGGTTAAGGGTGTTGGTGAAATTACAAGCACATCGAACTTGTCAACATTATTTCTGTGACGGTGATGAGCTCAGTGGCAGTGTCATTCAAATCTTTGCGATTTAAAGCTCTGAGTGGCACTGCAACTGTTAGGGACAGGCGTGTCGCTTACCACCAGACACATGACTAGTTCGTCCCGTCACTTGGTGTCATAGAAAATACCAGATACTTACAATAATAGCTATGGCTTCCTTTGGATTTTCATATTCACAAAAATCTTTTTTTGTTAAAAATATTTCAGGGTTTTCACCTTCTTCGTGTACAATACTTTGGCACCTGGAACATGTATACAATAATTGTATGTGTTTATATTCTTCATATACATTTGTATTTCAGGAGATTTTGTGGAATATCCATTGACTTACAATTATATGGACGTCGGGTCCGCGCTAAAAAGTGTCCGAACTTATAGGGCGTTAAAATCGTATACAGAGCGTCATTCACGCTTTAGTCTTCGTTTGTTCGACTGACAGCGAAGCAAGCAAAATTAGACAGTACTGCGATGACATTACAATTTAAATTCAACGTTTTAGCTTTTTCATATTACTTTACATGTCACTATGTTTAAATAGGTTGACTTAGGACATTTTTTTCGTGGTTTTTGTATTAGACCCATCGTCCATTTATTTGTAAGTCAATGGGAATCGATATTATTTCGAAAGTTTTGCTTATGTAACTTGAGTGAGGCAACTTATCTCCATGAGATACCAATATATCGACTCTGGAAAGGTAAAATGCCTAAAGTGAATTTGAAAAATATTACAGAGCGATTTAAAGTAATTTTTTTGAAGCAGGTCCAAAAGTCGATAGCACTTAAATGCACCGAGAGGCACTCGCGGGCACTCAAAGGTACTCGCAGACACCTAACTCAAATAAAGACTTGAAAATATATATCTGGTGGAATCGCAGCCTAACTATCTGAACAAATTGTTGCACTGGAGGCGAATGCTCCCGGTGAAAGAGGCTACCGAATGTTACAAGTGTTGCGCAACGAATGCTCGGTTCTCCTCCCTCACCGCTGTAATGCTTGCTTTTAAACTGTTATGTGAGTGAATAGAAAAACTGGTGGATACAGCGGATGTTGATAAGGCAAAACTCCTACAAAATTGTTCTTAGATTCGTACAAGGCGAAGCACGGTAGTGGCACAGAAAAAAAAGTGGACACATATTCTGTCCGATGCAAGCACCTTTTCATTAAAAAAAACCGACAGTGGGACTGTTACGGACTCCTTTATACATTTCAAACTTGTTTTCTGGCTGTCATGGTTACGGTGATTTGTTGTGTGATGTCATGGTGACACGTATTGTGTCGAGTGAAAAGTTGTTTTTTATTCGCAGAAAATATTTTTTTAATTTGTGATAGCCGAAACGAACCCGGAACGCATCGTTGGCATCTCGAGAGTACTTATACCTTTCAAACATAAAAAGTATTTAAAATTTTTATTGAATTGATATTCAATTATTTTTTGTGAAATTATTCCACTAGTTTGTTATAATTATTAATACAAAGATCAAGATTTGTATTAATATTGGTGGTTGGGTGGACCAATTTTGAAGAGGGACCAATTTTGGTTTAGGACTTTAAGAGAAAACTTACCAAATATGATCCACTAGATCGTAGTCTCCAGACACTTTGACCATTAATGGCCCTGTCTTGACGGTAATGTTCGTATTGGTGGTGTCACAATCATCGCCCAATTCTTTTCTTTTTATTTCGTACAAAATCGCATTTGACAGATTTGGTCTTTTGGCCTCTGGAAGTAAATTAAATTTATTTCTAATTATTATTATAAGCCTTGTGTCTAATGGGACACCCAGCAGGGGCTGTAGAAGCTTCCCCCTCTTTTTTCATTAGTCCCGGTTTTAGGCTATACGGCTGTGTTACTTGTTTAACTTATTTAGAAAAAAGAAAATTCGGATGTGATTTAGGTGTTCTGAAATAAATCTGAGACCAACCATATAACCGTTTAATAAGAAAGCCGGTTTGAGGTTTAACATGAAATGTTAAAACTTATATATTGTCGACACCTATTCCTGAACTTCAGAAACTGAGAGTAGATTTCAAAATGGCATGGGTTTGACATATCACACTTAACATCAGACTAACTTTAAGATAAGATGTTAGGTCCCTTGTTTTGCCATAAAAATGTTGTAGATTTGTACACAGACATGACCTGCACCATGAGAAAATTTAGCATGTGAGAAAATATACTTAAGTTCAACAGCGGACAATTGCTTATATAATTTCTTTGTCAAAACCTCACCGAGCAATAAAATATAAAATCTGATATGTACTTTTAGCCCGACCCTAAGAGCGGTTACAAACGGCGGCTTTTAGCAGCGATGCAAACGCGATTCAAACGCGTTTCAAACGCTATGCAATCGCTAATCGTCTACCTTTACACAAGCGTGTGATTATAAGCAGTGATGCAAACGCGATGCAAATGCGATACAAACGCGATGCAAACGCGATACAAATGTGATGCACATTTTAAATTAATTAACTCATTTATTTATTTAATGTATTTATTAATTTTCACTTCTAAACTTACAATTAACAAAACAAAATAAATTGCATAAACCTGTATAGATTTTTCGCACATAATTATTCGACATAAGCGACTATATCGATGCAGGCGCGCGTTTGCATCGATGCAATCGCCTATAAATCGCAAGTGTAGCGATGCAATCGCGCGATTCACGAACGCGCGTTTGCGACGCTGCTAAAAATCTCCGTGTGTAAACCACTCTAAGATAGATGCGCAAGTTACACAACTCAGTGAAGTGAGAGTTTACCCTATACATATATCAGTGTCATAATGTTTGCCGTCGTGATTGTTGCCCAGAGTAGGGATGCACATTACGATTTGATTTTTATAAAGATCGATTCAAGTGTATACGGTCTAGCGATTTTCAGTATCGATTCATGTCAATGTAATTTTAAAGCAAATCGATTCGACATTAAGGCGAATCGAATCGTCTAGAATCGTATTCATAATTTAAATAAAACAGTAACTCTGAGTCTCGACTGAATCGTAAGGTTAATTTTATTTTATATTGATCTGCAAGAAAAGTAGTTTGGCGACATCTAAGCACAATAAGTTTAGATATTTGGCAATTGTTGCCTTTTCTCACTAACTAATATCACTCTAAATGAAAGTCGTAACCGATTGTGGCGGAAAAAGCTGTCGAAAGTATGATATTTGTTATCAAAAATAATTTTAAAACCATTTTTATGAGGTCGATTCAAGACCATAATATGATCGTGCATCCCTGCATCAGACGTACAAGAAAGGGGTGATACGTCGTACGGGGAGGCTCAAGTCTCGTCTGCTCGGGTGTGATACCTGGTAATGTCTCGTTCGGTTCATACACCAATTCCACGACGATACGGGTAATGACATGCTCTTCAAACTTAGTTGCACAGTTCAACGTCAAGCCATGATGCTTGGGGTTAATTATTAAATCCAATGCAAGGCTGCTATCTTTAGTCGATGCGGGCTTTAGTAGGGTACCTGAAATTTCGTTTTTTTAGCACAGGCTGCCGTGCAAGTTTGTACACAGTTCGTTGTGAAAGAGTTGCCGTAGCGACTAGTTTTAATTCAGACTCGCGGCCGTGTGAATTGGCAGGTAATGACTTATTTGAGTCAATAGAAATCTCACGCAGCCGGCCGCGACTGACCACTTAGTGGAAAATGGCCAAAAGGCGGATATTGTTGTTAGGTGTGTGTCTGTTCTAAGTTATACATACAAAAATAAAAGGGGCGTGAACTAACAAAAAACTTAAGTTTTCTGTACCTTTGATGGCGCTGGTTCTTTCGATCTTCCAATTCAAATGCACACAAAAGCCTCTTTGTCGTGGAGACGGACAGAACACTATCACGAATATTACCGAGCACAATTATTAATTTATTTATTTACCATTAGAATTTTCGATGGATATAAACATGTACGAGAAATTTTCAGCTCTTCTGAGACATTCCAGTTTTAACGGTAATGGCGAACTGTATTTAAATTTTCCTTTGCACCGTACGACGTCATAATCTTCTTCGTATTTCCAACTTTTGATCTCTGGTAGACCATGTAAGAACATGTCTGTAAATAAAAAAAAGCTGAGTGTCTTCGAATCATGTTGATGAAACTTCGATGTCGGAGACGTTAAAGCACACACGATATAGTGTAGATGAGACTTTAGAATGTGACGTCTCACGCGTTATTAATAATGAATAAATAAATAAATAAATAAAAAGACTTTATTCTCCAACACAAAGACGTGAGACTCCGCCGCCTGCACCCGCAGCCGTACTCAGCGCGCTGTCCGTGAAACTAGATTTCAGAATCTCCAGAACTTTGCTATTTGTTTTCATACGTACTTTTAAATACTTGTGAACAGTCTTTGGCGTGAGCGTCAGGATTTAGTTGTGCTGTAAAAATAGAATGTAAAACTTAAATAAAAAAAAACCGTTACAAAGATGCTAGTACATACATTTTGTTGGAAAGAGGATACCTCAGTATTGGTTCCACTTAAATTTGAAGAAAATATACTACCTCTATCCGGTTTCGCGCACTTTCCGGTGACCGGTTTCAATAAAACTTGGCAAATAGATGGAATTCCACGAACTTTTGATGTCGTTTTCTTTATAATTTGGATTTAAATTCAACATTTCGGGCTCTACAGGTCCCTTGGTCACGGCCAACTTTCAACAACACTGTACGTGCTCCTTTTTATATTCCTTGTGACTTGATCAAATTTCTAAAGATGAAGCCGTGAACTAAAACTAAAGTAAATAAATTAGTCTTACCTTCAGACATATACAACGAAGAACAACACAAAATAATAAGTTTTACAAATATTGACATCTTCTGTTTTAATAACTCACTCATGTGTAGTATAAGAACAGTGTTGACTGATTAATTTGAAATGTTAATAAAGAATGTAATCTAACGCTTTATACAGGTTGACATATTAATTTTACTTTCGTAGTCGAGTCGAAGCCTCCCCCAAAGATTGCCTGACTATCCGGTCGGACGCGACGTGCATCCATCGGTTACCTGCCGTCCTTACCAGGTCATCCGTCCATCTAGCAAGAGGCCGTACCACTGAACGCCTTCCGGTTCGTGGTCTCCATTCGAAAACGTTTCTGGCCGAACGGCCATCAGTTCTACGAGCCTGCCCCCTGCCACTTCAACTTGCCAATCCTTTGACCTATGTCGATGACCTTCGTTCTTCTACGGATCTCCTTAAATGCCGACCATCGCTCGCTCCGTAGTTCGCTGAGTGACTTTGAACTTTTTATGAGGCCCATGGTAAGTGACCACGTCTCAGAGCCGTAGGTCATCGTTGGCAACACGCACCGCTTGAAGACTTTTGTCTTCAAGGATTGCGGTATTGTGGACGACTAGGCGTCCCGGAGCTTCCTGAAAGCTCCGATTCGGATTCGACGATAGCCAAATAAACACATCGAATTAGGGGAAGATATGAGGGGCACTGCCACTGCGCCCGTCACACTGAGACATAAGCTGACAAGTTCCATGTGCCTGTAATTTCACCAGCAACCTTAACCTTGGAAACCGCGGCGAATGAAATAGGTAAGATGGTAGTACTTCCCTGGATGAACTCTTTCACAAGGAGCTCTACTGCTCTTAAACAGGATGATGATGTAACCACCTCTACCGGACCTTGACCAAAACCTAAGCATAAAGATTTTGAAAGCACAAATTCAAAATAGGACGAATTTTGTGGTCGAGTGGCGTGCCTACCGGTTTTCATGGTGTAGCCATCTCTGAGGTCCCGGATTCGATTCCCGGCCATGTAGAAAAGTAACTTTTCTTTATTGTCTCGAGTCTGGGTGTTAGTGGCATCGTCTTTGTTTCCGATTTCCATAACACAAGTGCTTTAGTTACTTACTTTGGGATCAAAGCAATGTACGTAAAGTTGTCTAAAGGTGGGTATGAACACAAAACGGAGCGCAGTGTGTTCGTAGACGCGAGCAACGTCCAAATGAAAACTGAGGAGCAATTGCAGATGCGTGAGCGGATGCAGCACTTGGATTTTTTGTTGTGATGCGCGTAAGGTCTCCGTTTGAGCGGTTATAGATGCGCGGACAGAGATGGTGCGCGAACCTAATGGATACTCACCTTAATATTTATAAAATTTTGAATTTTGAAAAGACAACCTTTAGCAGTTGTATGTTGTGTCATGGGTATAAGTTTAACAAATCAATGTCAGTTGTATTATCAATTCTTTTTCTTCTTATCGTGTCGAATACTTCTTTTATTGTAGGACTGTATTGACTCTGAATATTACGTTGCTACCTTGGCTGCGCTGTCCGTAGCGGCGTAGAGATCTTCCCTCGTACAGGTATTAGGACACAAGAGGCACAACAGTAAGTACCGCATGGTCTGTGTCGGGGGAACGCAGTCATATTGGGTTAAATTAGTATCCCTGAAACCCCGTTTATACATCGTGTCTCTGCAGAGTCCTACCTGAGTGCGAAGTCGATTTAAGGACTTCCACACGGGCCACCGCAGTTCGCAAACTGGTGGTATTTGCTCTTGGGGTATGATGAAACCAGGTGGTGGGGTTTTTTTTGTTCCCACAGTGCAAACCCAGTGACAGTTGGATGGTCACTCGTAGCCTTTGTGGAAATACGAGTGACCATTATTATCAATAATATTGCCGAATGGCATAAATGTACAAATGGTTGCCACAAATGCAATCCAAAAATTAAATTTCAGGACATCCCTTATTACCGGTATCGGAACAAAATTATCACTTTCTACGATAATATTTCAAATTTTAGTAGGATTAGATAAAGTTAAGTCTAAGGAAGATAAGCGATTGATTGTTTGGTATCAGGGTGATAAAAAATTCTCTTATAGCCTCGATGGAAACTGTTCAGTATGACTTTCTGTGAAAAAATAATATACTCATGTTTTACATATAAATATTGAGACATGGCTAGTGTTGAGTCATGGAAAGATTTCCATTTTGAAAAATTCATATTTTCCAGAAAATTTAAATTATTTTCCGAATATATTTACACATTTGCCAGATGACACCTGTCAAAATATACTGATCTGAATATACTGAACGAAAACGATAGGGCCGTTAGAAAAGTTTTTTAGCTGTGGTAAGTTTATTTTAAATTATTTGAATTTTTTCAGAATCTATAACAACATATAGCATAGTATAAATAAGATAAATAGTGCAACTTCCGCCTGTTCGGCGTTTATACTGTGCTCGGGACACAGGTTACGCAATCCGTGCGCTGAAAAATTGTATGAATAAAGTAAGAATAGGCGGAGAACTTTTAATTTAATACATCCGATGTTGACAAGCGCCCGATGGCTACTGACTGGGAAGCAGGTGGCGCGGCGCGTCGTTAAACCACTGGGGAATTTTCTTCTTCAGGTTTCAGATGAAAACCAAAAGTTAGCTGGTTCTTTGTAGTACTTAAAAAGAAATATCTCCATATGAAAATTATGCACAAAGTTACATATTTTATTCTTAAACAATTCGTTTTAGATTTTTATTTTAGACTGTTTTCAGGATTTTATATGATCGGGCGAAGTACATCCAATCGTCTAACAAATTAGCACATTCATTAGACAATATCCTTAAGTATATCGTATATTTTTTGTAAGACCGTTCATTTCAACCTGTTTGCACCCACTGCTGAGAATAGGCCTCCTCTCTATTGCGCCATTCTTTCCGGTCCCTTGCGAGTCGTGTCCAGTGGTTTCCAACTATGACCTTGATGTCATCAATCCATCGGGTGGGTGATATGCCTCTTGGTCTTTTTGCGTCTCTTGGCCACCATCCAGTAACGGCTTTCGTCCATCTTCCATCGTCCCTTCTAGCCAAGTGCCCCGCCCACTTCCACTTAAGCTTGGCACGACCCGCGTCTACGACCTTTGTGCGACGTCGAATGTCGTCATTGGGTACGTGGTCCAGCAGAGAAATTCCGAGCATGCCGCGCTCCATTGCCCTTTGTGTTACTCGAATCTTGTACACGTGTTCTTTCGAGAGCGGCCATGTCTCGTACGACCGTTATATAATAAATAGTAAATAACTAAACCATTTGATCTAGCAAAACCGTTTTTCCCGCTTCTACTTCGGTGACTCGCCTTAAGGCTTGAACAGTCGCGAATGACTTTGACCATTTGACTTCTAAGCAGTAGTAACAATTTTATACGCCATCTATCGACTACGCGCTTGTACTTACACAAAGTCAAATAAAGATAAGTTGTAAACTAGAATACAGACGTGTCATACGTTGTTTTTGCAATCTATACCTACATTGTTGTTCCCTCAGAGACGTTCGAGAATAAACTATCGTAAAAATAAACATTACATAATATTTTAGGGTCAAAATCGTAACAGCAGTAATAGTGAAAGTATCATGCAATGATCCTATCAATTAACAACTAATGCTACTATTTTCAACTATAAAAGAGGGGTAAAAAAGAGTGGTATGGAATGTAGTTAAAATTAAAACAAGTACTTTTATTCGCTGTAATTTAAATGCATTTTGCAAACGTCAATATTTACTAATTAATTAAGCGCCATCGAAAGTGTAACTTTTATGTATTATTCAATTTGTTATAGACAATACGTAAATAAACACTTAGGCTAATAACAAAAAGAAATAAAAGTGATTACGACCAATACGCAAAATGCCAACATTAACAAGTACATAATGATAAGTATTTGTATAATAATGTATATTCAAATAGGTATTTTATTGACTAAATTGTTAACATTAAAAAGCGTCAAAATCTAATTAGCGAGAACTAGTAGGTTTAATTGAAGTTGGAGTACAATTTTCTGGTTGAAGCATGGGTTCGTCGTCACGAGATCAAATATTTGCAATATTTTCTGGATCAGTGGTGGTTTTAATTCTGTTTTCTATTTTCTTTAAAACAAAACTGCAGCAAGCGGCGGTGGGCGGAAAATGCAATGCAGTATAGTTTCATTGTAGGGAGAGCGTACGACGGAGACGAATGAGACAACTCGATGCTTGATTAACACTGAATATAATAAGTAATAACATTGATGTAAATACATGGTGCTTAACAATAACAATTCTTATACTACACTTTCCCCGTTACAAAAATAAAATAAAATTTATATAATTTCTATTTTATTTCTATCGTTATACAAAAGAAATACTTATACATACGAATATATTTTCTTATAGCATAGTTACAAAGGGTAATATAGTTAGTTACATTTTATTTTGTTTAGTAGTCAAAAAGCAATATATTATTCTTATTAATTTTTTAATAATAATTATCATTATTTTGTATACAATAAGGTACTTAAATTAATTATGTGAGTACCTACTTTACTTATGTATTTTACATAATATAAGGTTTAGTGCGATTTTTGTGTACTATTTCTTCCTTATTATTTCTCATGATTTTAACGTTACATCCTAAATCTTCATTAATTAAAAATGGACCCGAATATGTACTATCCATTTTGTTGCCAGTTTCATTTTTAAGTAGCAAATAATTACCTTTAGTGTACGTCACTGGATTAACATATACGTCATAGGCCTTCTTCCGTTTTAACTTATTTCCTAATAAGTTCTTCCTTGCATCTTGCTGTGCAACCTGTAATCTATATTTTAATTCAAGTGGATAACTATCGTAGTTATATAAAGGATCTATACCGGAATCTAAATTGTTCGGCAATTTGCACGACTTTCCGAATACCAGTTCATGCGGTGTGTACCTTGTCTCTGTATGTACCGTATTATTGTACGCGAAGCACCAGAACGGCAGCCAGCTGCTCCACGAACATGTTCGGTTAAGGCAATTAATACGTAAATACGCACCCATAGTCTTATGTGTATTCTCGAGCGCTCCTATGGACTGGTGGTGGTACGCTGTTGAAGTAAGGTTCTTAATTTTTAATAGTTTACAAACTTCGACCATTGTGTTTGAAATGAATTCAGATCCACGATCTGTTGCAATTTCCCTGGGTATGCCAAAACGCAAAATAAAATTATTTACAAAAGCAGATGCAACCGATTTAGCATCTTTTGTGTGAAGCGGATATGCCTCTATGAACTTTGATAGCTCACACTGTAACGTGAGAACGTAAGAATGACCGGCATTATCTGTAGGCAGAGGACCAACTATGTCTAAATAAATCTTTTCAAATGCATAACTTGACGTACTGGTTATTTCCATAGGCTGTTTGATTTTATTTGAATATTTTTGTTTTTGGCAAAGGTCACATTTTGCTACAAACTCCTGAATATCCTTATCCATACTAGGCCAGTAATAAAACTTTTTAATATTATTTGACATTCGCCTAATACCCGCGTGGCCACTAGTGGGCAACAGGTGAAAGTCATTGATTATTACTCGCCTATCATCTACGTTATTTATTCTTTGTACGCTTTTCAATACACAGATTCGTGGTCCGGACCAATCTTTCGTTTCTCGTATTTCATTTATTATCTGTGTAATAAAACTTTTATTATTCTGACTCTTTATTATGCATAATTCCTTTATTTTTGTTTTCATACACAAGTTGCATAGATCTCTCACCAACACGTCTCGCGTAATCGATGATCGAGATAATATTCCAGTAAAATAAATTTTACTCTTACTTGGTACATAAATAAAATAATTAGACCTTTCCATAATTATTTCTTTTCTCTCTATGTCTCTCAATTTCCTATTATTTACTAATTCTAACTCAACCAAATGTTCTGGCTTTTTAATTATCTCCACAACTCTCGGTTGATCAGACCTTGAGTTCGGGGGATGATTATCGGCCACCAAATTTGGCGTATCTCCCTCTCGTCCGCTCTCTCGCATGCGTCTCACTTGCCCACGAGTCATAACATTTAAAACTCGTTCATTTAACATTTTTAAATCATCAGACGTTATCTGTATTCTTGATAAGGCATCCGCGGCTGAATTTTTGCTACCTTTTATGTATTCTATTGTATAATCATATTCTTCTATTTGTAATCTAAATTTAAGTAATCTGCTAGAAGGGTCGCGCATACTAAATAAATATACTAATGGCCTGTGATCGGTTTGGATTTTAAACTTTCTGCCGTATAAATAAGGTCGAAAATATTTTACACTCCACACTATCGCTAAGAGCTCTTTTTCGATAGTGGGATAGTTCTTTTCGGCTTTATTTAGAGTACGGCTAGCGTATGCTACAGGCCTGCCGTCATTATTACATAGCACCGATCCTATGGCGTGTCCCGACGCGTCTGTTTGCAATATAAATTCATTACTCTCCTGAAAATTTGGGTACTGTAGAACAGGAGGTCTAACTAAGGCTGTTTTTAATGAATGAAAAGCATGTTCACACGCTTCAGTCCATTTAAATGTTACGTTTTTACAACACAACCTGTTAAGAGGATAAGCTTTTTCTGCAAAATTGGGTATAAATTTACGGTAATAATTCGCAAACGCCACGAACCTCTTTACGTCATCTGTGTTAGCTGGTTTTGGGTAATTTTCTAATACTTTAGTTTTTTCTGGGTCAGGTAAAATACCTTTTTCTGATATTACATGGCCAAGGTACAAAATTTGCTTTTGTAAAAATTTACATTTTGCTGGATTTAATTTCAAATTGATTTTGCGTAACCGAGACAAAATGTCCATTAAATTTTTATTATGATTTTCGAGGTTTCTACCAAAAACACATAGGTCATCCTGATATACCAAACACTGCTCGTAATTTAATCCCGACATAGCAATCGTAATCATTCTAGAAAACGCATTGGGACTAGTTTTTAGTCCCATTGGTAATCTAGTCATTTGATATTGATTTTTGGTTGTTGTGAATGCCGTGTATTGTCGACTGTTTTTATTTAATTTTATTTGATAAAATCCTTGATAGAGATCTAAAGTAGTGAAATACATTGCACCAGACAACGAGTCTAGAATGTCTGAAATATTTGGCAGAGGAAACTTGTCATCTTGAACTTTTTCGTTTAATTTTCTGTAGTCAATTACTACACGCCATTTTTTAATACCCGTTGAATCTAGCTTTTTAGGTACTAGTAATAATGGACTCGACCAGGCACTCCTACATTCCTCTATTATTCCATCGTCTTGCATACTTTTTATTTGTTGGTCTATTTCCGATTTTTGACTTTGTGGTAAACGATACGGCTTTACGTAAACAGGAGTGGTATGTGGCTTTAATTCAATAGTATGGTCGTATAATGAAGTCGTTGTCAATTTATCTCCTGGTACGTGAAAGACGTCTGGAAATTTGGCACAAATGTTTTCAATAGACTTTTGTTCTTCCTCATTTAGATTTTCAAATTTTAGTAAAGAAAACAAAGACTTGACCCTCTCTGCGTTCATATTCGACTTATTAAAGTGACATAAATAATAATCGCTTAACTTAGAAACGTTTAAATTAAAATAATTCAAAATTACATCCTCATTTCGTGTATTCATTATTTTAAAAGGTATCTTACCATTATGCGGCTGTACTATAATGTTAGCAATGTATACTCCGTGACATAATTCTTGAGAACTAATGACACATTCTTGTTTTAACTTCGTGTCAACATAATGAATTGATTCGCTTCTTGCTGGAATTGTTAAATATGAACTATCTTGTCTCAAATAAGTAATGGGTAATGTGACAGGTCTCTCTAAATTACAAATTCTTAATTCATTTAATTCGAAGTCTACAACTGCTTTGTACTTTGTCAAAAAATCTTGCCCTAAAATTCCATCAGTTTTGCATGGTAATTTATCAAATACATAAAATTTATGTTTTATAGTGTAGGTATCAATTTTGAGCTCTAAATAAATATATCCTTCTGACTGTACGCTTCCACCAACGCCGTTGACGCAAAGTTTTTCTTTATGGAATGGAATGCGTAAACATTTTACTCTATCGTGCTTGACAACTGAAATCGAAGCGCCGGTGTCGATTAGCCATTCGCTTTTGTTGTGCTCATGCCTGTCCAAATTAATAGATAC